TCTCTCTCTCTCTCTCTCTCTCTCTCTCTCTCTCTCTCTCTCTCTCTCACACACACACACACACACACACACACACACACACAAATACACACCCAAAACCAACAAAAAAGAAATGGAGTTTTTCAAGATTTTCCAAGTGCTCAATGTTATGCATACACATGCACACACCCACACACACACATATGGTCAACTTGCAAAGAGAGACTCAAGTTTATCTGTAAAATCTTTTAGATGACAGGCAAAACATATGTGTATGCCCTCAGAAAAAATTACAGACCACCAAAATAACAGGGAATTACAAAAAACTCTAGCACTAGAAGTGATCAACAAAAGTATCATCAGAAGCAATATATCAAACTAAAATTAACAATAAATGATATTGACAACAAAATATCACTCGACCAAACCTGAGAAAGAATTTTATGAATACTAGATGCATGTATTATCTTGTTCTTTGCTCCTGAATCAAAGTTATTCTCTAATCTAGGCCACGAAAAGGAAGAGAGGAGCAAACCAAATACCAATGAACTTAATAGTGTTGTTTAACTAAGGTAGATTCGTAGATGAAATCCAAGCATAAATAATCATATGATATAAAGCAATGGGAATTAAAAAAAATTCCTTTGATAAGCCAGCTCAATTGGATATAGAAAATGAAAAGTAAATGTCTAGAGAGAATTAAAACCATTGATGCACAACTTACATCTCCTTCATCAAGATGGACGTACTTCCTCAACACCTTGCCAGAAAACACCACTTTCGTGTCTACACTAGGGCATCCATGACCAACAAGAACTTGAATATCTTTCCTTGACAATGATCTGAATTTTAACATCAATCAAATGAGAATCAAGATAATGATAATCCTGGGCCCAAGGCTAAGATTAATATAGTAGTCGGTTCTTTTATCAATAAAAATTAAGATTACTATTCAGATTCGACAATGAGCAAGGTATAATGACATAATTCAAAGTGGAAATATATACTGGTGGACAAACTATGAGCTACTTTTTCTTTTTTGTGAAAATAAAAAATGCATTTTTTTATCTCAAGTAATAGAATAACTTTTAATTTCTACGTTAAACAATTCAAGTTTGGTGACTATCAAGTCTCATAACTTTCGGCATAAATGCATTGAGAGTTGTGATCTAAGGAGTGAAAAACACATCTCTCATTGCGGTCAGGAGGGATGTTGAGAATTTCACAAGTGGCCCACAACACTCGACATAAGTCCAATTCATACAGTTGTATTTTACCTTGATAAAGAGAGTTTATGAACTAACCTAAACCCTACCTACCATGTCTAGTTTGTAAGTAAAAAGCATCAGAGGATGGTTGTGAAAGAAGCATTGTAAGTTTGGTAGTTGTAATGAAAATTAGGGAATCAGTTGCTGCTCATAGCATACGTAATCATGGCCTTCAAGCGTGAGCCTGCCACTTGATTCTCCAGTCTCTGGTCCAACTTTTCCAAATTATCAGAAAACAAATTATGTAAGGTCTTTCCAGAGATACTGAAGAATTATACATTTGTGATGTTTTAGGCCTCAGGGCCATGAACATCTATCTATTTTGATAGGTAAGGGCTAGGAACATTTTACAAACCAAAAGTTATAAACCAACTCTACCACAGCAAAAGGTAATTTGCAGCAGCTAGCTCATCACATTTAGCACCTTGCAATGGAAAAAGGGGAGATTGAAAGAAATAACTGACACTGTATAAAAAGTACATGTCAGTTTCATCAATTTTTGTCCTTCCATTATTATTAGTTTGAGAATGCAAAGGTGCGTAGGAAGAGGGAATTTCAATCTCATCAACTTAACACTCAATATTTCAAAGTTCTTTTGTAGTACAATTACAGACAATGAGAGAAAGATTGCTACGAAATTACACTTCTGCTATAATAAACAGGAGATAAAGGATAATATAACCGGAAAAATCACCTCAATATATCAAAACGATCGCGTCCAAAGTTGAGAACAGCAGTTCGGACGGTGGTCCAATCCCTCGTGAAAACAAAAGATTCATCATTTAACCCCAATTCAGTGACAGAGACATCAGCAAACTTCTCGAGCATGTCATCCTCATTCTTCCTCCTGTATTCAAAGTAATTTTGTTGCAGAAGCCTCTCCATCAATTCAATCCATTCTGGCCATGGATGAACCACCTCCACCTCCACTTGACTAAACCCATCTTTCTTTGTTTCTCTCTCTTCAAAACCCAAAATTTCTCTCTCTTCCGAATCCAACTTTTTCTCAGTCATATCGGCAGTTTCCTCAGAACCCATTTGTGAAACACCAACAGAAGCCTTCAAAAGGTTCTTTCTCTCTCTCCAAGCTCTTATTTGCTGCAAAGCCTCATCCTTTCCACTCTTCTCTTTCTCTATCTTGTCCATCTGATCGAATATGAAGCTCATACGAGCTGAAAGGCTTCTATTCTCGGGGAATTGCTGAATTTCTTCTTGAACTTGCAGAGAGGATTGAGATGTTGAAATGGGTCTTGACCCAATAGTCCAAAGCCCAGGTTTTTGCCATGAAAAATTTACAGAGCGTCTTCCACCAAGGAGAAGAAGAATATGGCTCTTGGTGTTTCTCGAAGAAGGGACTAGCCCATAGAAAGTGCCTAAGCCCATGGCAGGCTATGGCTTCTACACTCAAGAGCCTCTCTTAAAACTCACAGGACCCTCTCTCAAAATTATGTGCTTTTTAGAGAGAGGAGCATGAGAACCACTGAAACAGGTAAGAGTCCCACTGTTTTGACAACGGCTAATGAATTTACGCAGAAGAGATTCTTGAACCAACATACGCCGTTTAGTTTTTAGAGAGAAAGGTAATTTTTTGAGAGAGAATGGTAATGAGCGACTCTGTAAACATCTTCAGAGAGAAAAGGATCCCGGGATAAATCCTACTGAAAAGGGCTGGGCGGACGCTGACCTAGTGGTTAGGTCCATCTTAAACAATCACAGTAAGCTGCACTCTAAATTGTGGCTTAAGATGTATTGTAATTTTGGTTTAAGATGCATTGTAGGAGCCCAAACTCTTAAAGTCGCCTTAAAATATATTTGGAAAAATTACGTACATATTCCTTATATTTTATGTTATTATCAAAATATCAAATATTTTCTTGTTAGTATTAGAATGTTCGTTTTTTTCGTTTTATAACGAAATTTTTTAAAAATACGTCTTTACCCATTTTCAGTAGAATTTTGATGGTTCAACAACCAAAAATGGCTCCGATAGTTTTACTGTTCATCTTTTTTGCTATTTATGTCTTAGCTATGTGAATGCCTATACAATAGAGTTTTACCCATTTTTGGTTGTTCAACAATGGAAATTAAGACTGTGTTTTCTATAAACTTGCTGGAATACGCAATCCTAATTTCGGTTGTTCAACATCCCAAAATGTCTTGTTTTCGGTTATTGAACAATCAAAAATGACAATTCAAATTTTTAATTTCATGTCTATTTCAGTTGTTCAATAACCGAAAACAAGATATTTTTTGATGTTGAACAATCGAAAATGTTCTATTTTGGTTGTTCAATAACCGAAATTAGGACTGCGTTTTTTGTAAGCTTGCTGGAATACGCAGTCCTAATTTCGATTGTTCAACGTCCGAAATTAAGACATTTTCGGTTGTTCAACATCCGAAAATGTCTTGTTTTTAGTTCTTGAACAACCAAAAATGACAATTCAAAATTTTAACCTCATGTTATTTTCAGTTGTTCAAAAACTGAAAACAATATATTTTCAGATGTTGAACAATCGAAAATGTCATATTTTCAGTTGTTCAACAACCAAAATTAGGACTGTGTTAACCAAAAGCTTGCTGGAATACGCAGTCCTAATTTCGCTTGTTCAACATCCGAAATTAAGACCATGTAAGTTGTTAAAAAACTAAAATGGGTAAAACTCTCTTTTTTAAGCATTCATATAGCATATACGTAGAGAGCAGAGAAGATGAACAGTAAAACTATCGGGGCCATTTTCAGTTGTTGAACAATCGAAATTCCAACCATTTCAGTTGTTGAACAACCAAAAAAAAGTAAAATCATCTTTTTTAAAAAAATTTGTTATAAAGTGAAAAAATGGACAATCCAATAATAACGAAAAGTACTTGGTATTTTGATAATAACGAAAAGTATAACGGATACATACGCAATTTTGCCAATATATTTGTATCCCTATTATGGAATCGAAAGCTTCTCAAATATTGCATATCTAGCAAATTTATGAATACTTAAATGTCGTGGTAATAGACGGTCTAGGCAATGTGTTCTAAGATGTAGTATTATTAATTCTTAACATTTACTTTTCTTTTTATATTCATACATATCGAAGGGAAGATGATCAATTGAAAGGTTTTCTAACAACAAAACAATTAGTTTTAGAATTAATGATTACATTGGATCGACCTAATCAGAATCTTGGTCTAGAACTAAATATTGGACTCAGTGGGTCTGGTCTTAATCCAAATCTATATGATCTGGACACAACCTGGGTTGGTATCATGTTGGGTTAGGTCTAGGTCATGGTCAACCAGACTTGACCCAACCCAGATATACATATGAATATGTGCAACAATTTTTATATATTACATGCTATTTATAATACATTTATTTATTTTATATAGACTTGGATTACACCCAACCCCATGGTCTGAGTCCAACAACCTAGACTAGACAAAAGTTTTGGCCTAGTTTTGGTCCACCTAAGATCCGGTCAATTCACTGTCAACCTAGACGTAACCCCACCCATTAATAGCCCTAACCATTTGCCGAATTTCGGCATATAGTCAAAGGAAGGAGATAAATTTTTTTTTTGAAATCTCTAGTTATAAGATTGATATTAAAGGAAAAGAAAAGAAAAATTACATGGAACCCTCAATTTACTTTATTCCCTTTATTTGCCCAAACTATTTATGGAGTTCTAACCAATTTCTTTGAGCAAAGTTAAGTTCAAAATTTGCCTCACTTATCATCATTTAAGAATGGAAAATTGTCTCATGCCATTCAGAAATTGTAAAGGAAAAACTAAGGCTCCAAATATTTTTTTACTAAAATTATTATTTTAAACTTTTAAAATTTATTTATTTTTTCATATTCATGATCTCCATATTAGAGATTACGTATCATTAAAAATTAAGTTTTTCATATTAGGGACTACATATCATTGAAAATTAAGTCTTAAAATCTATTTTAAAAAATAGTCGAAATAGAATTTTATTAAGAAACCTGCATTTCTACATATCAATCAACATATCAATCAACCTGGTACTCTTAAGAATATGGAATTCCAGTTTTCTATCGCAGCAAAACGGTTAAAAACAAGGTCCCACCGAGATTTGAACTCGGGTTACTGGATTCAGAGTCCAATGTCCTAACCACTAGACCATGGGACCGTACTTTGTTGAAGTTCCATATATTATTTTATTTAAACATGTACCAATGTCTCACTTCCATATATTAAATTATTTGAATGTGCAGTTGGCGGATGTTGAGGTAAGGAAGTAAGGTGCACCGGTATATAATTTTGATGTAAAATGTTTTTAAGATTATTTTAAAATCTATTTTTATATCTAATTATAAATTTTTAAAATTTAAAAATAATTTAAATCAAGGGAAACTTGCTAAAAGGCTCCAAAAATATACACACTCTACCTGCACCCTAAACTTTTCTCACTTATTTTTTCTCAAAAATGATCGTTTATAATTAATACCCCCTAACTCAAAAAGTTATATCTTTTTTTGACGAAAATACCCTCCCTTCACATGACAAATCATTTTTCGGATCCTAACAAAAGGAAACGCCGGTCTGCATTAGTACAACACTGGTCTGCTCAGTTTCACGCACTTCAAAACGTCGGACTGCCCTTTCAAAATGCCAGATTGCAACTTTAAAATGTCGGACCATAACTTCAAAATGCCGGACCACCACCATGAAACGTTGGACCGCCACCATGAAACGTCGGACTGCTACCATGAAACGCCGGATAGCCCATTCTAGCAAAACAAAATTGCGGGACTGCTTGTTCAAAACACCGAACCGCCACCATAAAACACTTGACGACCTATTCGCCGAACTGTTTGTTCAAAATGCCAGACCGCTCTCTCTAATAAAAATAAGTTATTATATCAAGGAAGGGTATTTTCATCCAAAATAAGTAAACTTTTTGTATAAGGGGTATTAGCTAGAAAACATCACTGTTTGGGAGGAGTTGCTAGGAAAAGTTAGGTGGGGTATCAAGTAGGTAAAAGTCCATCTTGGGGAATTTTAGCAATTTTCCCTAAATTCAAGTAGATCTATAAACATATGAAAGTTTTGAAAATGAACAGTGTAGATAATATATTGTAAAATGCACAATTTATGAGACTTAAAATCTTTTTATTTTTCCCGGTCATACATCTCGATATCGAGATGATCAATCAAAGGGTTTTTCAACATTAAAACTACCTTTTTCGATGGACTTTTTAAGTGCATCCATTGCAAAATGCACTATTTATGATACTTAAAATCTTTTTATTTTTCATGATCATACATCTCGATGTAGAGATGATCAATCAAAAGGTTTTTCAACATTAAAACTACTTTTTCCGATGAACTTTTTAAGTGCATCCATGGCTTTGCAACCTTATATAAACTTTTATAAAAACAAAAAAAAATTATTCAAACACAGGGTAAAAATATAACCACTTTATATAAACTTTTATAAAAACAAAAAAAACTTATTCAAACACAGGTAAAAATATAACAACAACAAAGGTCAAGGGCAGAGCGCTGGAGGAAGGGTTTGAATCTTCGACTTTGTGGTTAACAGTCATATGCTATAGCCAACTGAGCTACTCCAGCTCTCACGACCTCTTTTTTTATTTATTTATTGGAAATCACTTATGGCTTCACGGCCCTCTTCTTACTTTTCCCCGCAAATCAAGCGATTTAAATTGTTACCTAAGTATAGATTTTTTTTTTTTTTTCCCGTAAATGTCTATATCTTGAAAGCTAATATATTAGTGCACATTTAAATTACCCATAGACTAAAATACTTTAATTCACTGATATAATCAAAGTTTAATGGGATTGTCTATAAAAAAATCATTCATCTTTTGTACATAAAGATCACAATCATTCGTGCCCTTTAAATTTTAAATGGGTGATTGTATGAGTCTCATTGAATAAACATGAAGACCCCATACCTACAAAACATAATGGTCTCTTTTTAGACTCCCATATTTTAAAACACAAAAATTCCCCATCTGGATAGAAATCAACCGGGACCGACGAACCGATTCCAAGATGGCCTGGATCATGGCATGTTCCCCTAAACCCCCTCATTTTCTATGTATTTTTTAAAACTTATCTAATGTTTTCTTATAATCCGAAACACTACTTTCATTTTTATTTTATTTTATTTATTTTTAAACATTTTTTTAAATCTCCGGTACAAATTGATTTGGATAGCCGATCCAACGATCCAACACGGATTCGTGGGGTGAATGATCCAGCCCACACATCCAGGTTTTGAAACACTGGATATAATACTCCACTACATAGGCTATAATACTTCACAGTCAATCACAAAATCCAACCCTACAACCATTAACTTTGATTCCTAGTTTTTATGCCATCTTATTATTACATGACCTATACAGTTTTGAACCCCATAACATTTATTTTCTATCCTGAGTTGCACCATGGATTGGTAGATCCTTTATCTATCCTATAGGAGAGTTGAACGACTAAGCTAATAAGCACCCAGTGGCCAAAGCCCATAAGGATTGTAACTAAGAGGAACTCTATTTGGTCCTTTTCCTTTATGGAGTTCCATGCTCCAATTATCCAATTTTTCATAATCTTACCAGTACCAGTTTCTCATTTCCTCCAACTTTTACAATTTTTCAGTTTTTCTCTGTATCACGCCCTCTCTCTGAACTTCTATAATTTTCCAGTCCATCTCTCTCGCTCGCACTCCACATGCATACACGCACGAGAGGATGAAACCTTAAATAAAGGACAGAAAAGACACAAACATCCATTCACTCTCAACTATTAAAATTTTTAAAGGCGTTAACCAAGTACACGCAAGGCATACTGTACATGAGATGTGGGCAATGAACAGCTCAGATTTTATTTTGAATGGAAAGGCTCAGGCTACATTGGCATTTAGAGGACATGAATCATCAAAGTATAATTCAGTCCACATTTTTCTCACAAAATTGGATTTTTACATGACCAGTCGTCAGTTGCTTCAAAAAATGCCCTGTAGTTGCAAGGACTCAAAGACACCATCTGTAGCAAAAGGGAGAAAACATAAAAAGATTACAAATACAATACAAGGTATATTTCCTCATAAACTGTCTCCATTAATTCACATTTTTCAAAAGAATATCTAAATCACAAGAAAATATATATTACAATTAGGTGCCTTTGACTTCTGATAAGTTCTAGAGAGGAGGAAATGATAAAGTACATAAATATGTGCTTTTTAATACAGCAAAATATTAAAGAAGACTGGTGGCCTTTATGAGATGGCAAATAAGGACAAACAGTTCATGGTATAAACTTACAAAGCAAGCCCTAACCGGTGAATTATATATGTTCACCACATCACAGAAGCAACATTCTTTAACAGAAATGGGTATAATCCTGACCTCCAGTGGAGCAGCAGTTGGGAAAATAGGCGGGAGAAATACTGAATCAGCTACTCCCACTGAGGCCATTTGGTTGCTCCAGTTAATTTTCTCGACATATTTGTGGGGTGAGATGCACCATTCGAGTCATGCCATACCAACTCCATCTGGTTATAGGCAAAAGAATCCATTTTCATTATTAAGGCTATGCATATCATATACCATTGATGCATGAATATAGGACACCATGCCAGCATAAGCTGTTCACTACCAAAGTTTGGTATGAACAGTGAATGCCCTTGTGGGGAACATAACATATATTCTAAACCACTGGCGTATGGTAATACTAATTTACTGATGCATGTGTACTTTCCAAATTGGTAATTCATGGCAAACGAATGAAGAAAGTCTTTCTAATGTTTCACCTCTCCAATGATCACTGCATCACCCTCTTTTACCCCTCTTTTGGTAAGAGCCTTGCTCACACCACAAGCTTCTAAAACATGCTGGAACCTCCTAAGGGATTCTGAGTACCTTTACACATGAAAAATACGACCCGGATGAATAAATAGACAAATCCATGTGGGCGTATATAGATGAATATACATGAAAACTGACCATATTATATACATATATGCATACAGATATCGACATGAACATGGGCATGGGTACGTACGTGATGATGTTTCTGTGTGTTTGACTGGGAATCACATATGAAAAGCAAAAAAGCTAATTCACAATTTTTTATCCCAAAAGCATCCCAAGCAAAACAAAATCATACATAAAAAGGCAGGTTTCGACAATCAGTGTGGTATAAGGATGCTCAATTACTCTGATGGAAAAGACACCAGATTTTTGTGAAGAGTTGCAGGATGTCAAGTTGCACTTGCTCCAACTTATAGGGAAGCATACAGCACTACCATCGCCATGTTTGAACAGGAAATATTTCCTGTTATCCAATATTTAGAAGGTATAATCTAGTAATATATGCATGCTCATCACTTTTGAATCCAATCATTTCAAAGGAATCCACACAGAATCAACAAAAGCCACAAGGAACTGCTTCATGCAGCTTCCGAGCTTCCCAATAAATTTCTCAGTCCACTGGTTTAAGAACTAGACTTGTCTAAGCGAGTTGTGTAACTTTGAATTTAACCATCTTATGGGATTCATATATCTATTCATTCAATTCATTGTCCCCACATACCCTTAGGTTGGCAAGAAAACTGAAAATGCGAGTTCACAATCAAGTAAGAAGCAGACTGGACTGATCTCAGAAAGGAGAGGTGCATAAGCGCAGATTGGCATACAGTGAAACCATAAAAAATAAAGTTTTGACAAGCAATGCTCCCTAAAAATCACTGGGCAAAGTAGAAGTGCCAAAAACATGACATGCTATTAGAAAATAGAAGGCAGATGTCATAGAGAGATAGATTGGAACCTATTTCAAGCATTTCATACACTATAATCATTAACTGAGGACTAATTATTGACAAAATTATTCAGTCATAAGTCATAACAAATGGCCAACACAGAACAAAACTGTGAAATGAAAAAGGATCTTGATGAAGTGCATCTAAAGTATATCTAAAAAGCATAAAATGATCCTTCTTAGGGCACACAAATAAACTGTATAGAAGAAAGGAAAATGCAACAATCTACTAAGTAAAACAAATAGGTGAAACTGACAAGAGTCCTGACTGATTATAACTTATTAGCATGGGATAAATGCATATCAGGATTGAGGCTTACTGCCAGTTTGTCATTTGAAGGAACCGTTGTAGCCCAGCACCAACAATATGCCAACTATTAGAACCACTATCATGAATGATTTCAAATTCCTGCATAGGAGCACTCCGTTGTCTATTAACCATTTCTGCTACATGATTCAAATTTAAGGCGTCCTGTGAACCTGCAATTTAGGTGTGCCCCATTAACTTGAGAATTTAGGATATTGATGTAGAAAGAGTAATACTACAGCAGCAGCAGTTGCCATTTCCAGAGAACAACTGAATATAAAGTTTGTACTTTTCCAAACATAATTCATACATCAGCACTTTGGAGCTTCCGTACTATGGATAACCCAGTTTCTCTATCATTTTAAGGTTAACCTTCTCAAAGAAAAAACATAATTCATGCACCGGAGAAACCAGGAAAGTTAGAAAACTTTTCAGATGACCTGCAAACATGCTCAAATAAACATGAACAGGTCATGTAAAAGAATGTCCGAATTCAAGGACATTTCAGATAAAGGATTGCATAAAACAGGTTCCAGTAAAGGAAATGCGATGCCAACTCCCCCTGTCAAGATAAATTTTTTGAAGAAATTATCATAAATTAATGAGAAATCACAAGGAGCCACCCCCCAGATAATTAGGATAAGGCTTGGATGATGATGATGAATGAGAAATCACAAGGGGAAAAAACCTGGATATTCAGTTTCGGATGCCGATGCATTCTTCAATAGTTTATGGGCAGCACAAATCACTTCATGTGTTCCTTGCCTGTTCGCTGCACTCATGCAAAAGGGGCGGATACCCCGACTAAGTAAGTTCTCCTCAAATGAGGCCCATTTTTCTGATGCTTCTGGTAGATCCATTTTGTTAAATGCAACAATATAAGACTTGTCAGCAAGCTTGGGACTAAATAATTCCAGTTCCAAACGAACTGCATCAAACTCATACTCAGGCTGCTGCCCCATGCCATCAACAACATGCACCTAGCAATTGAAGAAAAAAATCACAGGAACTATTATTCCTTTCTAAAGTGGCCTGAATATATAAAATGGAAAATCCTCGACAAATAACTAGTTTCAGATTCAGTAGAACAATAGCTTGGATAACAAAATATTCAAACATGGCTACTCATCTAGAATTTAGCTTTTATAGAAATTAACCAAAACTGAAGGGCCAGAAACATGATAATTTTAACAAATCAATGCACCAGCTAAGGTCTAGGCTTCCATTCTTACCTAACGCATTCAGAAACCACTGATGATTTCAAAAACGGGTAGGGGCTCGTCATCCCCATTGAATTACTCCAAAAACAAAAAAAAACAGACAATCACTAAAATGCATACGGTGTCTCAGGAAACCCTTGCGCAAAGCACATGCTTACTTGCAGCTGAAAAGGAAGAAATTGGAAGGCAAGAGATGCTGACCTCATTCAACACAAGCGCGGTTTGTTATGAAGGCTAGAGACAATGACCCAACTAAATGTCTCATGCAATAAGGTCATTCCATTCCAGAGGATGAGTGAGATTCTTGAGAATATGCTAAGTTGAGAATGTATCGTCCATTCACAATAGCATCAGCTGTATAGTAGCCAACTCTAACAGGCTATGGGTATAACGTTGTTCAACAGTGTCAATCATTTCTTCTCAACCATTAAGGTTTCAAGTATGACTCTCAATTCTTTTCCAAAAGAAAGGAAAAGAAAAGAAAATTTAAAAATTAATATGCTAAGTTGAGAATGTATCGTCCATTCACAAAAGCATCAGCTCTATAGTAGCCAACTCTAACAGGCTAGGTATAATGTAGTTCAACAGTGTCCATCATTTCTTCTCAACCATTAAGGTTTCAAGTATGACGCTCAATTCTTTTCCAAACGAAAGGAAAAGAAAAGAAAATTTAAAAATTGAAACAACCCAAAAATTAAAAAATTGAAACAACTCCTTACCATTGGAACCACAAATAATCCTAATAACAGTAGGAAAGCATGATTGTTCACATCTTATTTATGCAAATTACTACAGCAAAGCTTCTCTAGAGGCAGCTAGAACTAATTTGCAGGACAAGCACCGTCTCTCACTTCTAAAAGAATCTTATTTCAAGTTAGGCAGCTTCCCAGCATCATTCTCCTCATCAGACAAGATAAATAACACCCCAAAATCAACTACATACAATGCTCATACGCTAATACATGTTCAAAATAAAATTATCTAGGGAAACTACAAATCTTCTTCCCATCCAAAAGATTTTACGAACCAACATTGGTTCCTTGAAAGTATTTAGCATTTACAATGCTGTCTCGGGTGTCCAATATAATCCCCCCCCCCCCGTACTTATGTTTCTGCATCCATTTTTCAAAATAAAATGTACAGAAAAAAGCAACTAAAGAACCCTCCCAACTCCAAGATCGATCAATCACCACTAATAAGATGTGAAACTTTTAAGAAAGCACAAAAATAATCAAAAGAACAAAAAGGGTAAGGAGTCAATTTCAACAGATGATAGTCAAGAGAAAGTGCAAAGAAGAAAGAAAAGTGGCAGAGGATGAAATGGGCAGTGGAAGAAGACACTATGGTCCCTCTACAACTGCTTTCAGCATCGAACAGGTGTCATTTGTTGGTTGCTGAGGTTTGGCTTCTCTTAAACAAAGTTCACATACTTAGTCTTGCTTGAGGGTTTACTTATTGGGTAAAAGTCAAGAGTTGAAAAAGATCGTTATTAAAGTAGTATATCAAACCCAAAACTGGTGCCATCTTCATGATATTTAAACTGGTGGTAGCTTTATGGTTTCCCCCCTAGCGTTTATTAGATAAACATAGAAAGTTACACAAATTTTCCAATAGAATTACATGCCCAACAATCATGAAATAACCAGTAAGAACATGCCTCTAACAATTTATAAATAAGCAAAACCAGTAACACAAAAAAGTACAAAAGTACCAGTACAGAACATCTTTCACTGTGCCGCAGGAACTCATGACCTAATCCATAACCAAGGTGTGCACCTTCTAGTAAACCGGGCAAATCTGCAACAACCATTGTTGCATCATAATCCAATGAAACCACACCAAGATTTGGCAGTAATGTCGTGAAAGGATAGTTAGCTATAGTCGGTTGAGCAGCGCTGATAACACTCAAGAGTGTGCTTTTTCCAGCATTTGGTGCACCCACAATGCCAACATCTGCAACCAACTTCAGCTCCAAATCCAACCACCTAATAGAAATGCGTTAACCCATTTTGAGTAAATCATTGCTGAAGGAACAAGATGTGAAAGGAGTCTGACACAGAGAAATAGTGAAATCCGACATTCAGATAAATAATGTTTGGATAAGCACATGGAAGAATCTTCAAGTAAAAATAGGAAACCCTGTTGGTATCAAAAGTATCCAAGAAATAGGGCTTTCTGAAAAGCATAACTAAGCTAGAATAACTGAGAAACGTTGCAACAGTTGAACTCAGGATTCATCTATATGAGTAGGAGGCAAAACTTTACACGAATTTACATCAAATCCACTAAAGGGTACACTAAAATGTGTATATTCCAACAATTCATGACAAAAATAGCACACCTAAAGATCAGGAGAAATATAGGACGCCTAAAAATCCAAAGGTACTGCTTATACCCTTACTCTTAATACAAGTTTAACACTTTAGAGAAAAGAAAAATTCACGCCCTTAGGCCTTACACTCTTTTGCAGAAATCTCAAAATTATCTGAATTACTGAAATGAAATAGTCCCATCTCTTTAGAGTCAGCTAATTTTAATTTATGATATGGGTTCTGAACTTCTCAAGAAAAATCCTACAGGTCCTCAAAAAACCTAAAAATAAACAGTTGTGTAATGACTTTTATTATGATATCTAAAATAATTAAACTAGAATCCTGAAATATGAAGAACAAATTCAGCTTTAGACTCACATTTCTGCACCCTCCTCTCCATTCTCAGCAATCTTCGGCACCTTATTCGTACCCGACTTGAATGAAGCATTTCCTCGACCACCTCGACCACCAGGCAATAGCAAAGCCCTCTGTCCTGGGTACATCAACTCCAACAGAACTCTTCCCATTTTTCCATCCGTACCAGCTTCTCTAACCACTGTACCAGGTGCCACCATAACCACAACATCCTCTCCCTTTGCCCCATCTTGCTCTTTTCCTTGGCCATGGCTTCCTCTTCCCGCCCTAAAATGTACATTCTTTCGAAACGGCAATAAAGAATTCATGGACCCGTCAACCTCTATATACACGTTTCCTCCTCGACCACCATCACCACCTGAAGGCCCGCCAAATGGCACATATTTCTCACGTCTAAAGGCCACGACTCCTTTGCCACCATCACCAGCTTTCACATATATTTTTGCGCGATCAAAGCACCTCATAACAGCAGGTACTCCCTTAGTTTTCTCCTCAAAACCATCTTCATTATCCTCCTCTAAAACTCTAAACTTCTCTCCATAGTCTAATCCTAATTCTTCATCTTCGTCTTCGAAGTCAGAACCTTCTATTTCTCCGTGAGAAGAATATGTCATGTTGGGGTGTGCTGATTTGAGGTTCTCGTTAGAAAAAGTTCCACTCATGCTAAAAAGGGGCTTCTCCTCTGCATATTCCTCCTCTGAATTGCTCTCTGAAACCCAATTTTCGCTTCTGTCCTCCGAATCAGATTCACTCTCTTCGTACTCTAAAGTCAATTCTTTTGTTTCATCATCTAATTCAAGAAGCACTGAATCATCTAATGCATGGACAGCACCTGCAAAATTCCTATGGGTGCCATCAATACTTCCACTTAAAGACCTAAAAGTCTCACCATCCCCAAACCTCGTACATTCTTGTTCCAATTCTGTACTCGTGCCACCAATTTTAGAGTTCTTTCCTTTCAAATGCAAAGAATTATCAGTCTCTCCGTCATAATTTCTCCCTTTCCCATTTGATTCCGCAAAGTTTGAATCTCTGAGTGTAGGATGAATTCTGTTGAAATTCCCATCAAAACTAAACTCCTTAACATCCTCAAACAAATCACCAAAGGAATCTTTTGAACCAGAAGTAGAGGGAAAAGCATCAGAAACTTGAACAGAAATGGATTTGAACTTCCTACGAGTTTCATCTGAAAATGAAGATTCAAACTCAGGTTTAAGTGGTAAAGAGGTCCAAGTGGTGGGCTGTTCCTGTTCTAGCTTCTGAACAAGCCTATCTCTCTCAGACTTAGGATTCACATTTGCCTTCTTAGCAGTCTTTGGTTTAGTTGAATCAGGCTTTCTGGTCCTTTGGCGAAAACGACATTGAAACGAAGAATTAGGATTTAAATTAGAGGCCTTCTTAAAGGTCTTTGATGCAAGTAAAGAATTAGGGTTTCCAGTTCTCTGGTAAAGGCCAGCATGAAACCCTAGAAATGTCTGCTGGAGAGATGAATTGAAGGGTTGAGTGGCCATTTTTCAGGCAGGAAGGAGTACAAAATCATTGCAGGGGGAGAACTTCTTTATAGACTTTGGATGTGGATAGGGTACACGTGGCATAAGGATTGCCGTTCATTATTTTCAAAAAAAAAAAATTGAATTTTGAGTTGTTTAATACTAAATCTAATATCCTATTGTTTACAAATTTAACCAATTTTAAAGCGTTATTTTTTAGACTCCATCCCTTTTTTTTTTTTTTTTAATTATATATAGTTTTCAGACTATAAAATCAAAGTGGCATTATGATTAGGGCAATTTTAGCCTTCCATTCGAAATGAACAGTTGGATAAAAAGAAGTACACAGCTTGCTCAATTAAAAACAAAAAAATAAAATCAAAGTGGCATTATGACTAGAACAATTTTAACCTTCCATTCAAAATGAACAGTTGGATAGGGGACGTATATAAGTTGCTCAATTAAAAACAAAAAAATAAAAAATACGAAAAGGTGCCGGAGATTTAAGGTCAAAAATAGGGAGCACTGCAGATGTTTCTATAAATTTTTCAAAATCTTTAAAATAGACCCTCCCAATCCGGATAAGAGGAAGAGAGAGCCATGGACAAAGCATTGCAGTTGCAGTGTTGTAGAGAGAGATAAAAAATGTGAAAATAGGGAGGAGGATTATTAAAACCAAAAATAAATATGAAAGCGAGACAACATGTTGATAGCTCAGCTCTTATACTGTGCTCCAGTGGGAGCATATTGTTTACTTCTCGCTGGGGTGGAAATTTAATTAGGGGGGAGGGGGGTTCAAATAAAAAAAGGTTGTTTTGATGTGTTGCGATTTCGTTTAATTAAAATAAAATAGTATATATCGCAACACATTAATTAATGCAAAATTGTTTGGTGCGTCCAAGCCTCCACCTGTTTTTATGCGGGCTCGAAGATCTACACCGTCTACCAAAACCAGTTTTTGTAAATAATAGTCCTCCAAAGAAAAAGTAAAATCAACTGTTCAAATATTTTCTAAAAAAAATACCAATTCCAATTTTTAATATTTATTTATTGTTATAGATTAATAATCTCCATGTTAAAGATTATATATTCCCTAAAAATTAGGATCAAGTTCTATTTCAAAAATAAATTATTAAGGGGGTCACATTTCTATATGTGAGTCCATGGACTCATAGAAACCGTGTCCTTAACTAATGCCATCTATTTTCAAAAAAATTGTGTTTATAGATTCACTCGATTTACAATATTTTTAGAGCTTTAAATTTCATAATTAAAGATGAACATAGATTTTTAAATCATTGTGAATCTTTTAACACCTTAGTTTAACAGTAAATGTTGACACCTTATCCAAACAACACCCATATATGACTGCCTGTATTTAGATTCTCTGCTTCTCTGCAATAAAACAACGATCCATACCTTTGACTCATCAATCCATACCGAGTTTTGGCCAACTCATTTTTCTTTTTCTTTTTTAAGATATTAAGTAGTATTATTGAATGAGTGCCTGAAAAGTATCAATTACATGTTTGCAATCAAAGCATAAAAAATTGACAAATAAAATAAAGAGACATTATATTTAGCAAGTCGATCCGCTGAATCATTGGCTTCACAAAAGATATAAGAGAAAGAAACTTGAAGCTCAAGAGATAGCAAAGATCCATGATTTTCAACCAAAAGGTATGAAGAGTCCAAGAGGTTCGTTGCTCCAGCGAGCCACTTAATAACATTGAGAGAGTCTCGTTCAATAAAAATAGCTACCACAATGCCTTTACTGACAATAATTTTCAAACCATGGAGTAAAGAAACAATCTTAACTTGGTTAACCGTGGTGGAGCCACAAGGTCCAGTATAAGAAAAAACAATAGATCCAAGATGACCCCTGAGAAGACCTCCTATTCCAGCGGGTCCAAAATTTCCTAATGAGCTGCCATCAAAATGTAATTTGAAAGAACCCTCAAGAGGAGCCATCAAAAAAGATACGAACCGGTTTTTTGGCACAAAAGCAAAGGCAAACTGCTTTAGATTAATAAAGATATCTGCTCTCAAAACTCCACGACCTTATTTGGTGACAGAGAACTAATCCCAGAGGTTCTATAGGATTTTATATTTAATATTCAAAAGGTCCAAAGAAATCCCATCAACAGTTCTAATTCTTTCCAACCAAATCTGCCAAATAATAGGCCTCCTAAAAATCTTCCAAATAAGAACGTAAACCCACTTCCAAATAGTATTAGCAAAAGAACAATGCAAAAAGAGATGGCATTCAGTCTTACGCGTAAGGCAAACATTAGTCTAAATTTTACCCCTCATGCGAAGATAGTCAATTGTGAGGCATTTATTTTGAAGGGCCACTCAAAGAAAAGATTGAATTTTCATCGATATAGGCCCATTTCCAGATAGCGTGAATGCCTTCAAAAGACCATCTAATTCGATTAAAGAAAAGCAATCTGTAAGCTGATTCCACTGAGAAGGAACCATCACACTTACTTTCCCAAATCACCTGATCTTCCTTATTCGATGAGATATAAACATTATCAAGCACAAGCAGAAGGTTTTGGAGTTGTGAGATCACCCGATCTGGCAGTCTATTGTAGCTACATTTGATGTTCCAGACAGGATTTCCTGACTGATTGCACGAAAATAAATCCGCAATCTCAGCTGCCCAAGAAGTCACTCTTGAGAAGAGTTCCGGATAGAGAAAGGAAACGATTAAACTAGAAAAAGATATCCTCTTCACTAACAATCAGACACCTAATATTACCGAGAACCACATTCTTGCAACTTTAGGTACTTGTCCAATTTTCTTCTTTTTCTACCACTAGACGATCTGGCCAGCTCACTATTTTTTCGCATGTTTTTCCTCCAATTCACTATTTTTCTGCACAGTAAAACAGTGATGCCAACCACTGATTCACCAATCTAGACAGTTTTCTAGGTGCCCAATCGAGGTCACCAATCCATTTTTTAAATTACAATGGCTGGCATGTCATTATGATGTCTGATTTATCTGGTGAGCGGGAGGGAGAGAGATCCCTTGACATCTTTTTAAGAAATTCACAAAAAAATTAAATTGAACATAATTTGGTTATTTTCCTTTAATAAATTAAACTATTCATCACTATAAAACAAAAGACTAAAAAAAGTAACTAAATTTTTAAGAGAAATGTCGGTTTCTCAACCCCAATGACCGACCTTTCTGCTTGAGCTGCGATTCAACATTTTTCTTATGGCAGGGTCGGATTGAAGCCTTATCTCTCTCTCTCTCTCTCAACATTTTTCTCATTGCAGGGTAGGTTTGAACTGCTTTTTTCTCTCTTACCCCAGAAAAACGCAACCATGATCCAAAAAACTAAAGAGACATATCTCCCATTAAAAAATCATGGATATCTTTCAGGCCCTGAAAATCAATGACATTAGCGTACAAAATTACCAAATTTCTTAATATCCAATGTGAAATAGGGATTGATTCCCAAATTCTAAAAATCAACCAATATGAAAAATTGGGGATTCATCCTCTCATTGAATGGGATCATCCCCAAAACCAGGTCAGTATTGAGAAAAATAAACCTAATCTTCCAAAATCTCAGTGCCAACAATCGGCTAAATATTTCTAGTGCTCAGAGCTTGCCGCATTTGTACCAGTATGGATTTTGACTCTCACCTTGTGACTCTGTAGGACTGCAAAAATTTGAAAAAGAAATCCAATAAAATTACTATGAAACAATTACAACTAAAGGCAAATCTGGATTCAGGATTATAAGTAACAGGGGAAAACAAATAGCTATGGAAGATAATAACACATCTGTTTTCACCAAGATCAATAACAACTGCAAAACTAGCTTAGAAAGGCGATAGGGAAGACATTGCATACCTTCACCGTTTTAAGGAGTTCTCTTGCTTCCTTGTTATTTTTGAAGTGATCTCGCACAGGCTGCAAAGAAGAGGCCATGGACAAAAAAGCTGTATAAGTTTTCCAAAGTATCAAAATATGCCTCACAAGTCAAAGACAGCTCAATCGGACGGGGTGGCTGTGTGTGTGGGTGAGAGAGAGAGAGAGAGAGAGAGAGCAGGCTACAAGAAAAAAGAGGGTATGACCGAAAAGTTATCAACACATGGCCAGCATTCTCTGGAAAACAATGCCAACAAAAACATACGTTTCCTAGAAATTGGTAAGTTGGTAGTTTATTCTCAGAACAGTTCTTTTCTAATATATCAAACTCTTTAAAGGCTTCAAGCTCATCAGTCTTATTTTCTTGAGAAGATGTAACAAGAGCAAGCGGGATTTTGTTAAAGAACAAAACCGCATTTGCCAACAAGGAAAACGTAAACGTTTTCCCTCGAAATATAGATCTAACCATGTTTGTGAACAGAGAAAATGTATCACCACAGCAAGTAAGAACTATTTTCCCGATTTTGAGTGAGAATTGGGACAACAAAGGGGGTACAGAACTGATTTCCACCATCCACTTTGCATGCTATTTCGCACCAGAAAAGCTGGGGGCAAAGAGGGGAGGGAAGAAGAGCTCACTAGGGTTTGGTGAGATCATTTCCTCTTTCGTCATCATCATCAGAAGAATCAGAAGTTCTACTTTGGTGAATTGCAGATGGACAAGAGAATGCTTGGAGAACCAAACTCTTTGCCAGAAGAGGATATGCTCATAATGTCAGCCATGATTTGACCAAATCCTTACAAGAATCTCTGTCTTTCTCAAACAGCTCTTTATTTTATGAATTCATGATTTTTTAGCAAAATAATTTATTTAACTGTCTACTATGATAATTAATAAATTTACTGTAGTTAAATAATTTATTAACCGTGCCTACAATGATACCTATTTTACTAAAGAAAGGTATATAGTGTGGTCGTAAATAGGGAATAGGCTGAAAGGAACAGAACAGTTGAATTGATAGGAGGAAGCCGTTATTCCGTTCAAATTCCTTTCATGGAGCCCGAGATCTAGACAGTCAACAATATCGGAAGTGCAAACAGAAATACTCTTTTGTCTTCTATTATTCCTGATTGTTTACATAGATAAATTAATTGATTCTTCAAAAAAGTATGATTTTATTGGAAGTGCTAGAATCAAAGACTACTTTGAACTATGAAATAGAACCCAACAATTACTTTCGTACCATTTATAATTGGTTTTTAATAGTAATTTATACTGGGAATGGACAGTTCTCACAACAAACTAGCCTCTCTACTAACCACATTGTCGATATTTCTCTGCCAATACAAAATGTTAATAAAGATTAGTGAGGGTACCTTGGGAATCGAAGCTTAAAACACAAAGGAGTCAAGCTGTCGCAACATATCTAGAAAATTTATGTTGAGAAGTGCAGATACTTAGGGAATGTGGACATCCTAAGAGCTTCCAAATTTCCGTATCCATGCCACCAGTGTATAGGTGATAGCATAATCCCTCTAAATTTCTATGAAAGACCAATTTAGACTTGGCTAGAGAAGGCTTTGGTGTCCTGAATCTGCCTATTATTTCCTTTATTAGCATAGCTGCAACTTTTGGTGCCCTTTGTTCTCACTAAATGAACTCCAATGTGTTTGGAAGATTAACAATGTTAGGACCTACTCCTCATATATTGAGCTTCATCAGCAGTGTTCTGCCAAGGATTCCCAAATAATAGATATATTATAGATGCTACTCCCGCGGGAGTTTAGGCTGGTTCACCAAGGCTCAGAATGCTGCTAAAGACTACAACGAACTCGATCTGCAAAAGCGTTAAGAAATTTAGGAACCAGATGTATCAGGGCTTGGTTTGGGAGCTGATTAGCTGTCTCTGAAATAAGTCTCATACATGTTTAAAGAGAGAAAACAAGGTTAATGTTGGTCATCCTCTGATGTCATATGAAGGCGCATATTGGGGGTTGATTAGCTGTCTCTGAAATAAGTGTCATACATATTTAAAGAGATAAAACAAGGTTAATGTTGGTCATCCTCTGATGTCATAAAGAGATAAAACAAGGTTAATGTTGGAAATCCTCTGATGTCATACGGAGCATAATTTCTTACTATTGGAGACCTTAAATTCCGTACGAAATTTGTTGCCTAGGGAGATAAAACACGTACTAGTGTCCCTAGGGATTTGCAACATCTCAGATCAAGATTCATCTGAAAGGTCGAGAGGACATCACTGTTAACATAAATAGTTACCGTAACATCAAGTACTCTAGCTAAATATTGCATAGGATCAAGTATGATCCGTTATTTCTTTAATAGGTGGTTTACAGGGCATTCGTCCTTTTGAGGTTTTTGTTGTCCCAATATATATCCTATTTTCCATGGAAAAACCTAGTATGAAACAAGATGTAACTTTCAGACCCATCATGAACTAATGGAGCACAGCTCGTCTGATGGAGAAATGCCCAGGCATTTTCAACGGCATGCTCAAAGCAGACAAAGAGCCCAAGGCCCATGCAGATAGCATTCTAGCCAATGAATACGTCCGCAAAGAGGGCCCCAAAAAGCCCAAACCCACCCTTTTGTTATCCACGAATGATGCAACGGTATCACCCAATGCACTCATATTCACAACCAACAGAAGGAACAATTTTCTTGGGCTTGCAATGGCATGTTTCTTCCACACACAGGAAGAACAGGATTGAGATCATTTAATGTTTGTCCAAAGCAGTGTCAGATGAAACATAGGTTCTGGTGGACTGATGATCAGGGTGGCTTTAGAATTAAGAGGACATGCGCTTTTATATTTTACTTTGGCTGAGTTCTTTAGAGATCTTATGCGCTCTAAAACATAACAAAATCTTCTCCAAATTCACTTTTGTGAATGACAAAAGTGATTTAAATTGCTGGATGTTGATGCGAAGTCCTTTCAAATTTCTGATTTCAATTGTATAATGAAACATATGTATCCATATTCTGGACTTTTTTTGTATTGTATCATGGTAGACTATACCAATGCCTAACTCATGTTACCCAAAAGAAGGGGAAAAGAAAAAAAGTAGAAGAAAAGAATGCATAGTTATGCCTGCTCACCGAAGTGGATGAATGCAGGCATGCAGATAAGGGAAGATTTGCCCCTCCTAGAATAAGCAAGTTGGGGCCATGTCTCTCTGGCCATCTTCCTTTATCAATCTCTCAGTATGAGAAGGGATCTAACTCCCCTAAAAGAACATCATTTTTATGCTTTCTTATGCCCAAGGGTCACATCTCTTCTCCCATTAATTTGGCACACAGAGAAAGAGGGTGTATGTGTGTGGTAGATCAAGTTCTTGATAAAACAGTGCTAATTAGCTGCTTTGATGGAATGAGTTTATTAATACTAATGACCAGTGATATTAATAACAAACAACAACTTATGATCCGGATAGTCCATTTTGCCAGCCCTATTGTGGATGTTCTCAAAAAATCTCCTCAATTGGACAAGTATCAATTTTTAATTGAGGAACTATTTTCAATGAACAATTGAAAACAGGCTACTTTCAAATCCCATGTAAAACAGTTTCTTCGATTTTCTCATACAAAGGAAACTGATTTTCCAAGGAAATCCAAACAGGTTACCAAATAAGGGAAATCATTTTCCAGGGGAACAAATTTTTCCTATTCGCAAATGTGTTGCAAAGCTTTGGCACTTCAACTTTTTAGTGTTATCTCTTAACCACCTTATTGAATGAATGATTTACCCTTTTCAGACAAATACAAATGATGTATAAGAATAACTTCTTTACAGTGGTCACATTCAATGATTTTCTTTGATACGACGAACATTTGATAGGAAACAACAAGCCTGAAAAAAGGGGCAACTAACCTGTAAGATCGAATTTAAAGCCTTTGAAAGTGCAGGCTTGACATCAGCAGGATGCAACTCCTCCCTCTCATAATCAGCAATGAGTTCCTCCAAGCTATTGTAAGTCCTATGCCAAAAGGAAAAAAAAAAAGAAGAAGAAGCAGAAAACGTAAATTTTATTAAAATACAAGATCTTAAGACTCAGCCGAGTGGATTCAGACGCGGCACCTTGCCGAGCCAAAGGTAAAACTCGGTTATAGAAATCACAAAAATTACTGTTTATTTATAAATAATTTTGATGTTTTTTATGATAATTTGTGAGTTTTCCTTATTGTATGCTATATTTATCTATTCTCCCTTTTTTGGATTTTTATGAATTTGTTTGCAGCTATAAATCAATGATTTCCAAATTTCATCTTTTATAATTTTTTCCATCTTTTTGAACTATTAATATTGTTTATAGTTTAGTTTGCTTTTTTTATTTTTGAACGAAATTTTTATTTTATTTTATTTTTTGGCCCTTTTGGGCTGATACACTACTCAGACAAGTCCACTCGGACTTGCGTGCGTTACCCGTTTCCAGATATAATCAATTTTTTTTTTTCCAAATTCAATCTTCTATATATTTTTCCATCTTTTCTGGAGTTTTAATGTTGTTTATAGTTTAGTTTGGCTTTTTTGTTTTCGTAGCAAGCTTCCTGTTTTTTCTCTAGCCCTTTTTAAGCTGGTACAGTAAGCTCGAAAGGGTTACTTGGCTCGGGAAAGCCTGAGCCATAGCCAAGCAATTGAACCTTGATTTGAAATGAATAAAAAACCAAAAAATAAAGAAATTGATTCAGTAAATGTGCTAAACTGATGGAGAAGCAATACCAAGAAGACAACTCACTTGTTGCCACCGTTCTTCTCATCTCTCTCTACTTCAAATTTTCCAAACCATGGGAAGACTATGTATTTAATGTACTCCAAACAAGGATTTCCTTCCACAATCTTTGGTGGACAGTAGGCTTTCTTAATCTTCACGTTCACTTCCGCCTTTCAAAACCCAGAATGGAAATATCAAATGTGTAATCTTTGTGATGCATTTTAGAGAACAAATTCAAACCTAATATCCAAGATGGGTCATGTTAGAGATTCAGATGACCCAACACAGTTTGGCAGATCATAGGAGTGAAGAATAAGTGCAGGAAAAGAAAAAACCCAAATTATATGATAATACTAAGGACTATGGAACACCATAGCCCTTAGGGCCACTAATACCCAATGAAACAATGGTTAATGAATGAAAAAGTATAATCCACAATAACAAGACATGACCACAAGGTGGGATCCACTCTACACGGTGAATCATCTATGTCGACCCTGATAGTTCCAAGGACTATAATAAAATAATTTCCAAAATAACAAATCCCTTCTAGTTATGAAATCTCTCTCTCCATATTTTCACAAAAGATACCTCTTCATCCTCCATGTAGATAGAAGATGATGGATCACTCTTTGACATCTTCTCTTGCCCTTGCTGTAGTCCAGGAAGCATGTCTTTCATTCGTTTAAGTGAAACAAAAGGGAAAAGGGAAGAATAACATTTATGGAAGGTCGAGAGGCCCTGAATTTTCAAGCTCAAGCAATTCCATCTTTTGGAAGGGTAAACACACACATACACACACATCCAAGCAAATGACAGGAGCCTCATCAGTTCAGTTCTGTCCAGTTTTAACAAAACTACCACAAACTTGAAAGCTATCTTATCCGGCATTAAGAAGAACAAAAATGAGCCAATGTGGTACGCAATAGGATACGATGAGATAAAATGATCGGTTTATTTTTCCTTTTGATATCATCACAGTACTCTCTAGCAAGCACATTTACTTTCCGCTGATCCATCCCCAACTGGCAGATATCAGCCTGAAAAAGAAAACCATTCCAAGACACACCACTCAAAAATGATTGTAGAAAGGACACATTAGGTAGTTAATAATGCAGAGTTGCCATTACACTTATTTCATAAATGTCCAGAAAACAGGTTATGAGTGAATGACCATCCATGCTAAAGATTATTATGCTAAATACAATCCACTATCAGAAGAAGTGTGAACCATAGTCCTACCAACATAGCACATGATACTCTAAGACCACATCCACAATACATATACAATGACAGATAGTTGGAGACTAACTGATATAGTGCCCACAAAGGCATTAACCTGGTAAAGCCAAATCTCCAGCCGTCCATCTGCAGGAATGGTCGGGTGTGGCTTACAAGTACCATATACCATAGTCAATTGGATTTTGCTCTATTTTCCCATTCGTTGAATAGCAGACTCATGCAATGGAATGAAGTAAAAAGATACGGCCATAAAACCTTCAAAAAGAAGATATCAGCACATTGCATGCATGGATAGAAAATCTGGGCTGCCGACAATTCGTCTTGATCACTCCGCCCCATAATTTGAGAACACCTACAAGTCCCACAAATTCATCATTTTTCCGTATTTGGCCGATACCACATGCAATAGCACCACACAAACATTGAGGACTCCATGCACCTTCATGAGCATTTAGGCATACGCATAATTTCTTCCATACTCCCTTATGCACATAAATTCTATTGTTCTTCTTACAAGGAACCATGAGAGATACTTATTTTAAAAATCCATTCTTCAAGAAATCAGCATATTGGTGCTTGAAATACCAATATCTTGCTTTTTATTTTAAGGGGAAAAAATTACTTGAGATACCCTTGTCTTTAACATCAATATCTCATTGGTTTAGAATAGAAATGATAAGAAATCAGTATTTTAAAGATTGATATCAAAATACAACAAGTATTTTTTAAAATAAATAAGAACTCCTTCGGTGGAGGGGCAAATATGGAAAGTGGCCTCTTAACAATTTTGACTTGCATTCCGAAAATCAGATAGACCCAGTGTTAAACTCATCATCTCCAATGGATACTTTCAACAAACGTCATAATTTCCATAAAAAATCATCCATACACCAGGAGTATACATGCACATCACATCATCTATGAAGGTTCGTTCATCAAACTTCATAAACAAGCACACCTACATACAAATAATGTCCTCTATAAAGGATTCTTTTGCACACCTTCATAAGTATGCATATGCTTTTATATGCATGCATACATGCACATACTGTCTTCTATGAAGGGCTCATTATATACAATAGAAATGCATGTGCATGCATTAAGAGTGCATACATAATCTCATCAAAGAGGGCCTCTTTCATAGACCTTTCTGAGCATGTATGCAGTTTCATGGACATGAACATGCTGTCTTATGTAAAGAGTTATGAGCCATAAAGCTGATCCTCACCTTACTATTCTTGGAAGCTTGTTTCTTCGAGCAATGTCCATCACAAGAGGCCAGTATTCGTGAGCCCGTGTGTTAATTTCTTCTGATGACCAGAGAAACTCAACTCGTTCGAGATTCATGCCGACAGCTTTCCATATCTCAATCAGGTAACGACCAATTGTTTGAATCTTTTTCAGCTCACCTCCCATTTTATTATTTAATTGTGCAAACCAATCAGCGATCCATATTTTCATTGTGCAACCAGCAGCAGTTAATTTATTAACATTTATTGCCTTCATCACACCCTACACAAGAAGCAAAGACTATTATAACAACCACAGGTGTCTATATATTTTTTAATTCATTGTAATTTTACATAAAGCATGGGTTCATCCAAGTAAGGAAGAATTTCATCTTCAAAGATACCAGATCCAAAAACAGCTTAAGTTGAAGACAAAAAAAACACGTGCAAAACATTACATATTCAGTGCATGAAACTCAATAGAAGCAGCAAAATAGAACTTTATTCACTATTGTACCACATAAGAGATAGAGAGAGAGAGAGAGAGAAAATTCTTAATTGGTGCATAAATTTGGAGATGCCTGTGTTACAAAAAGTATCTAGCAAGAAATTTATAGCAATAAGAGGATATATCCTAACTTCAGCCTTGCAAACATTAATAAAGAATTATATAATATTTCTTGCATTTCCAAGGAAAAAGAAGAGAGGAGAAAATGGAAATTGAGAAAGCAAAGGAAAAGGAAAACAGAAAGTGCAGCAATCTCCGCCATCCTCACACAGAAACAGAATGATCCCACAATTCAAAAAAAGGGAACTCCCGTAAGTCAGTCCCAGGTTAATGAATAAATAACTACCTGTGCTACATCATTGTGAAATTAGGTGCCAGCTTGAATCAATCTGTGTTTTAAATCCCCAAAGAAACAAATTTTAATTGTTGCCCCTTTAGGGATTTAAGACAAGTATTGTTAAATGTCAAGGGAATTAGCAATTTTCTTCCAACAAAAGCAATTTTCCAGTGAATTTGCTAATTTTTAAACAGAATACCAGGTGTGTGCAGGACTGAGAGAGTCCCCATTTGTTCTACAAGTTCGTGCTCTCCACAAACTCTGTGGTTTAGGTTGAACTCAGATTTAGCCAATTCTAGCCCAGTAGGGATAAGAACTCAGTTCAGAGAAATCAAAGTGGGAAAAATCTGTTCCAATTTTGTGGCAGAAGTGTTCCTATATGATGAAGCTGTTCCAATTTTTTGCAGAACTTCATATCATATATGATGAAGAAAATTATGCATGAATGCGGAAGGAGAATTATGGAAGCATGCTAAGATGGATTGTGCCATCCTTGGAATAGAACTCTCTCTTTTGCGGAAGCTATCATCTGTAAAAGATCAGCTCCACCAATGACAATCCAAGTAGAACCATCATGTTGGATTTTTTTCTTGCAAGGTATAAATGAGAATCAAGCTTGTGCCAATTTCCTCACTGAATTGTGGAAGAAGAGTTGTTACAGCCAGCTGTTTCACCCCACAGTTCCTAGTCATCCTACAGAATTAAGCATTTACCCAAAAATGTAATAGCTTAGGATGTTTAGTTAAAAATCTGTGAGCCATTACGCTCTTGCTTTTCTCTTCCAGTTTGCAATGCATTAGACATATTTCTTGGTGGTGTCTCCTATTCATTGTGTTTTTGTCTAAAACAAGTGTAGGCTCCTTTGCTTCGTATTTGTGCTATTATTTCTAAATTATTTAAAATGCCCTGTATTTGGATTAGAGACTAAAACATAGAGGATTATAATAATAAGAGCAAGAAAATTAAGAATACAACTGTAAATGATCAAAAAGAAAGGAAAGTGTTCCCAGAATCTGGCAGAAAGAAATCACACACAAAGAAAATACACAGTGAGGGTCCCCTTTCACATTCTAAACTTTTGTTCTCAAGCATCCTATTACCATGACTACCACTTTCATGTAGTGCCTGGGCCACAAGATATATGTCCTATGTTCTGATGTGGACTAAAAGAAGTAACTGACCCCTGCAGCGATCATCATTGAAGATGTACATTGCAAGGGTATCTTAATGTTGTCGAAGCTCAAATCTATTCCTAAAAGTTACATAAATTCAGCTTAGAGCATGGAGTAACAATAACAAAGTCTTGGGAACTAGTGATCCCAACAATGCAACTTGCAACTGCAAAGTTCCCTCAATTATGGCACCAAAGTAAGAGGGCAAGTTAAAAAGTAGAGCAACTTTTGGTAGTTGAATCCACTAAGGATCCCATAGTAATATGATCCACCAGCCCTCAGGATCCCAGTTTGGATAAAACATTTCAAAAATATTGTCATTATCAATTCCTAAAATTGTATTGTTCGTATTCACCTTAAAAAAAAAAAAAATTGTATTGTGCATCTAAGTTTTAGATGCCCAAACAAAATAGAGATTCTAGAATGTCAACTAAGAAGTTCAATGTAAAACAAACAAGTTCCATTTACTGGAGATGGGAATGCATCCAATGTGTGCACGAGCAAACATACACAATTATGATGACAGAGGACCAAACTTATAACATATATACATGGTACAATGCCAAGCATTCCCATATTTAGGCCAACAGACAAATTCAAATACATCAATATTCCTCATGAAACTGATGTTGAGTGATTATCATGAGAAATTTACTAGGGATTTCTGCTAACTTAAAATTGTCTCGCTGAGGTCACCTCTAGGTCATATCTGCCATCAGAGGCATGGACACAATGCTAGCTGCGATGTGTTGTTGAACATAATGACAGCTGGATTCAAGTATTCAACATGCCTCATTCTGTAGTGTAACACCAGACCAGTTCGCAACCTAAATAGCACCATCATAAACCCGTGCTCACTAAGCAATACAGCCACAAGATCTCATGGCATACAGATTTAGTACGTAAAACATGTGGCCAACTCGGTCACCACCAAATCCGAGTCAACTTACCAAGTCAAAATCGTTATATGGAAAAACTCAGTGAATTTTCCTACAAATTGTTTGGGAAGAAATTAACAAAAAACGAAGTGTGGGTAGTGGGATCTTAACCCATCTCATCACTAAAGGCATACTGCAATACTATAACATTGGCAGAGGTCATGCATCTGTCAAAATTGAAATACAAATTCTTTCTCCTTTTGGTAAATAGAAAACAATACATAAAGTAAAATTGCTAGCTTTTCATTTATAAACTCGCCCACTGAATGAGTAAAGTTGACTCCAGCAATTTTTTGACTTAGAACAAGTTTCTCTTCACTGATGTAAATGAAATGACCAAATGCTCGGCTTTAGTGGATAACTACTAAACAGACACTTATCTGTTACTTAGGTTCCCCTCCACCATAGAGAATTGGTTTAGACTTCTGAATAAGTGTATTCTGCGTGGAAGGAACTGCAATTCATGCGCTGCAGGAGAATCTCAAAGATGACTACGGTCACCAGTACTTGGAGTCTTGGAGAACCTTTCAGTCTCCAAGAACTCTACCCTGCCACAGTAGAAAACTGGAAACAATGGAGTACATTTTCCATATAATGCTTTGTTGAAGAGCAAAGAATTGTTTTTCCAGACAGCACCCATCATATTCTAAAGCAAGGATCCGAGTAATTTTTCATCTTGATGTGATAGTTTCCCACGAAAAAGAGATACCATAGTCGGTCATATCTCTATTGAATGAAAAATCAACTAGGTTATAGAAGTAAGAGTGGGCAAAGGAAAGCTGAAATAAGGCAGCCCCCAACTTCCACAAATGAAAGAACAACTAAGAATCAGTCTTCACAGATTTAATGTTGTCATCATATATAGTTAAGTTCTCTAATTGTTCCAATTCCAATAATGAGCACTGTGCAACACAATCACACTACTAACATCACTATGTTTAGACCTAGAATCAATAGAGTATGAAACTTTCTGCTCTTTCAAGCAGAAGATGATACATTTGCAAAGAACGCTGTGGATGGCGAATTGTAAAGACTTAACGCAGCCTTAGCAATTGCTTCTGTTCATACTCTGTTTCAGTTTTTTGTATCTCAATCCCTCCTTCTACCCCCATGTTTCGCACCTTCCTTATCCCTCTCCTTTGTTCCCTCTAATACCTCTCTGGCCGCTCTTCTTTTTCTGTTTTATTGGCAGAATATTTGGAAGGGCCAGAAGCTGTCATGTTAGAGCACCCAGCAATGTGTGCGGCCCAAACCTACAGTGTCCCTTTTTGGGTAGAGCATATGGCTTGTGGGTCAGCTACCTGTCTGTGCTTCTCTTTTCTTCTCTCTCCCCTTTCAGTAACCTGCATTAGATATCTCTACCTCTCTTATCACTCGTACTGTCGTACCCTTTTTTCCATATCGCCCTCGCTCTCTCTCACCCTGAGACTGCCATGTTGCACTCCATCTCTCACTCTCACTCTCTCTCGCCCTCTCTCCTTTTCTCTCTTTCCTTTTCTATCATAGCAAGGATCAAGGAGAAATTTTGTACATTCTTGAAGAGCACCATACTTTTGGGCTGCCATACACCACATCTCGTGGGCATTTTGTATAGACATCTCTATATTATGTATATATACATCATCACCAATTTTCAAAAAGACAAGTTTTTCAGCTGTTTACTCGATAATGCCATTAGCATGGGTAGCCATTAACTCATAGCATGCATGATATCTATGTAGACAAGTGGGGGGCATTAATTTGCAATAAATACACAAACAAGCTGTTTGTAGAAAGAGAGGAGGGAAGGGGCAGCAAAGTGTTCTAAAATGTATTTTAAGTGCCAAGGGATGAAATGATTTGGCATTAGCATCTAAAGATGTGACATTCATATAAAGGAGTACCAAGACTATCCAAACTAGATGCAACCAATGCTTTTCTATGGTTACTTCATCATTATTCCAGGCAAATGATGAGCGAAGGCCCTATCCAGAATGTTTTGGAGAAAGTAGTTGTGTCAGAAAATATGCAGAACAATACTTGTGTGTATTTAGGATTTTCTAACTTGCCCCTCCAATGGAGAACAAAGCATGCATATCTGATGGAGAACTTAGAAAGTGTGCTTCACATCTTGTTTTGACATGTAGTGACCCTACAAACGCATTGCAATACATTTTGGGTAGGGGCATGTTAGATCACTTGCCAAGGAAATTATAAAATCATTCTTGATCTTATCAAGAAAGGATTTTGTCAGTTTGTCATTGAACATTTGTTGGAAGGAAAGCTTTTCTATTGTCTTTGCTGAGGCTGGAGACTCCTATCAATTTCCCTGATTTTGGCAAGAAGTTCATCTTCCAAGATTTAGAACAGTTCTAGACCTCGCTATTCTATGATTTCAGATTTGCTGACGAGCTGGGGCTTCTTTTCAACCTGAAAACAGATTAATGAAAGTTACAACTCTCCAAACAATGAAAGTTACAACTCTCCAAACACATTTTCACTCAATCTCCAAATGTTGCAAACATCAGGTAGAATCTAAAGGGGAAGGGCATTCATTGCATACACTACAATAGGTCAGCAGCCCAAGAGGGCCGTAGTAATTCATTTCTATACACAACCAATGAAAATTTTCATCCTGGTTCAAACTACAAGAAAATTGACAGGATCCAAGAAAAGGGGACCGCACAAGCACAAGTTCCACCAACTGATGAATATTGGTAAACCCTAAATGAATTCAGTACTTACCAAAGACACAAATATGCACACCAACAAAAGCAACAAAGATACAAATGCCACATCTTTTCTATAACACACAATTACAAATACAAGGCCATAGAGATACGTAGCATTTTAGGACTTAAAGCTCAGCCCTCATGTGTGCAAGATTAAAAAGGTTTCCTTCAGAGACATCATCCAAATATATATACATATATATAACAAGTGTTCCTACTCAAGATCTCTGTCACATGGATACTACTAATGAAAGAAAGGCCATCTTGAAAACCAAAAATAATGTAGCCACTCACTAAAACAATCAAACAGTCAGAAAATGCTGTTTTCTATAGTAGAAACTCCTTGAGATTACAACAAGGGTCCTCCAACCAATGTAGCTCTTAACATTTACGAATCTCTCCCACAATACATCTATCTGGGCCAAAAGATGTACCTTGAATTGGGGTAGAAATTGGATTGGATCAACAGGCCAACCCAACATAGTCGATCTGGACCCAAATATTGGACCCGACCTCTGTCAGTTCATGGCCAATGTCTATCGTAGACTTTATCGGGTAGGAACGGGTCCGGATCACGGTCAACCCAAACCCCGACAGATATTTGTATACAATAATATATGTGTATATATGAACATTATTTATGTATTATAAAATCTTTATTATAAAATTTAATTTTCTTTTATCTAAAGGACCCGACATAGGTCCATGTCAGGTCTAGTCTAGCTAGGACTCAGTCGGGTTGAGTCCAGGGAATGGTAGAACCCGACCGATCTGACCCGACCCACTAACACGCTTAACCAATAACATGTCCAAACAAAACAAAGTACCCCATTATGTTTCAAGTTTGAATAATTATAAAACCCCCGGATGTCAGATCATTGTTTCTCCAATTACAAAGATTTCCCCACCATCTGTCAAGCTAACTGACAAGATTTCAAGTTCTAAACTATTGAACAATAAGAAACCACTTCAATTTTCTAGGAAATCATCGAAAAAAAGGGGGACGTTCCTCGATATTATATCCTCAAATGGTCACTGCAAAATTATTGAAAACATCAGAGTAAATTATTTAAATGTGATAAAAAAAATATTACACTGAATTTTATTATTTATTTGGTTTTCTGACAGATTCTCAGATTGGATTTCTCGATCTCTAAAATTAGACACTGGAAATAAAGTGAATCTTCTAATAGTCAAAATTTTATAATTGCAACAACATTTCATGAGAAGCACTAGCACACTTAAATCTATAAAGAACAAACCTGTGCAATGTGCATTCTCCCAGAAGGCTCAAACCCATCATAGCATACCGGGTTCTTCTTCTTTGCAAGTAAGTTCCTCAATTCATCTTCTTGAATGCACTCCTCACCAACACTCCTCACCAGGTCAAATTTCTGATCAAGTGCAAGCCTACACCAAAAAATCAAAAAAATAAAAAAACTCAGAACAACCAAACTAACACATTCAAACAATAGCAGGATATTCCCTCACAAAAAATAATTCATTAGACTTGAAAGAAATGAGATCATTTTGAAGGGAAACATCGATACGAAAGATAATTTACATCACAAAATTTAATTTAAGATTGAATAATACTATTAATAAAGCATACAAATTATTAGCCAAATCAAAGGATCAAACTTGAGTATGAATTCCAATTTTCCAAAAAAATAAAAAATGCATAATCAATGAAGACATTCAAGTCACAAGAGGGAGCCAGACGGCCAAATATAACTCATGCATCCTATATTCCCCATAATTTCATAGAACCCATAATTTCATAGAACCACAAAATTCAAGTGACTGAACCTACATCTCCTTTCAAGCAATTTCATCAACTAAAAGAAATCTAAAAGTGCTTAATAATTAGTATACACAATCTACTTTGAAGAAAGTAGATAATAGTAAATATTTCAAGTAGAACCATATGTTTGGAAACTTGGCTCGGGCCTAGGACTCAGTCCAGGCGTGAGCCGCGTTACTCAGGGACTTGACTGAGCAGTGTACATGGCCAAAAGGACCTAAATATAAATAAATAAATTGTCAAAAATAAAAGGGAAAATATCTCTATACCCCTTTTTTTTAAGTTTCATTTCACAATAGACCCAAGGTTTTAAAAAATATATTGGGGCATAAAAATTGTAGATTTTATTTCTTCTAACCCCCTAAAAAGGCATGCCTGTTTTTAAAAGTCATCCTCCCAAACTTCTAGAGAGAGAGAAGGGCTTCATGGAGGTGAGAGGCTATTGGAAGGAGAGAGAGAGGTGTTTGGAAAAACAAGGAAGGAGAGAAAGACACACAGGAAGAGAGAGAGAAGTTTGGGGTATATAAGTGAAGCGAGAGAGAATTGAGTTTAGAAAGAGTATGTCTTTCTCATATTTGTTTAGGTTTAAAGTGATCACGGGTTAGAAGATACCTTTTGAAACCTTGGGTTTATCAAGATATAAAACCTAAAAATACGTACGACATATAGAGATATTTTCCCAAAATAAAATAAAAATAGTAAAAATAATCTAAACCAACGACAACATAAACAGTTCAAATAAGCTGAAAAAAATATAATAGACATGGATTTAGAAAAATTTGATTTATAGTTGGAGACATTTCATAAAAATCCCAAAAGCAGGGGGGGGGGGGGGGGGGGGGGGTAAATAGAGCATGAAAAATTAGAAATCATTGTTAAAATATCCAAGCTACGTATGTACTGTTAACATATTGATTCCACCTCTTTTTTTTTTAATAATATTCCACCATTTTAAATTTTTAATATACTTTTTCTGATTTTATTAATCAACCCAAGTTGTACCCAAGTACTCGGCTCGGCAAGGGGCAATATCTGAGTGGAAACTACAAGAACAGTACATAGCGATTGTAAGAGACACGGATATCCAACTCTTGAACATAATAAACCTTTATAATTCCAAATAAACACAACATGTATAAACAATTCCGCTTAAAGTTTGAAGCTGAAATTATTCAAGGATAAATGTATGCAAAACATGGAAGGAAGTCAGGGTTTCAAATAATTTCAAACCCTAGCTCAAGCATGCATCAACAATTCACAACATAAACAATCACAACCAGATAAAATGGATCAAAGAAACCAATCAAATCCAGAGAAATAAAAAAAAAAGGAAAACTAAGATTTGCAACGATTACAACTCAAATTCAAGAAAAGGCCGAATGAATTCCAAATGGAATCGTTATAGCTACGGTTTGATCATAACTTCTCAGAAAATATATGGGAATCTCAAATCAGAAAGCAAAAAGGAAAAAAAACAGGGTTTAGAGATTACTCTGCAACAGTTTCCGAGCTGCTTGATCCGACCCCTTCATCTTTGGATACAAACGTTAACGCATCCATTTCTGGTGGGGTTTCCGTCGATGATACAAGCTTTCCCGCATCCATTTCCAGTACTTCCGCCATTTTTATCCCTCGTTTCCCCTCTGCCTCGCTTTCAATTTCTGTGAACCGTGATGGAAACAGTGCTAGCCGCCGTTGAGCAATCTGCCTTCTCCTTTTATAGTTGAAAGTAAATACAATCATAAAAGCAGAGTGGTTTGATAGGACAAGCACACTGGTTTGAGAGGACTGTAGCCCTATCAAGATATTGCCACGATGCAATGCGATTATTATAGAATAATGCAGTGGTACTTTTTAAAAACTATGTTTGAGATATTTGTATAAATTATGTTTGAGGCATTTATATGTCTTCAATCGTTTGATAAAGCGAGCGATAGCTCTTGCCCCTATCAAGATAGACGATTTTTGTATTATTTATGCGGCCTCAAATTTTGTACATAAACTCTTCATCTCATGTTGTATAGTAATATAATGTAATAATCTTAAAAAATTATCTTATGCCCTTTTGTTTGATCTAATTTTTGAAATATACATTCTTTTATCTTATGCCCGTTTGTTTGATCTAATTTTTGAAATATACATTCTTTTCATTCTAATGAAAAATCATAAAATAAATAAACAATTGAAAATACAACCTAAACAGTATTTTTTTAACCCAATTAACATAGGCGTTCATTTTAGTGAGATACTTAGATCTAGGTTTTATAAATATTTTTCATTTCCAATTTTTTTAAATAGCTTTATTATCATTAGATGAGCAATGTTAAAAAATAAAAAAAATGATTTTCAGTTCATAAAGACTAAGATATTGAAATTCACAAAATGAATGGTCTAGATTCATTTTTAGATGAGACTCGTTTTGACTATATCTAGGTTTCAAATATAACTTTTTTTTTTTTTAGATATTAAATATGAACAATGATTTTGTGCAACGGTTGTATCATAATATAATGCAACCACATTAAAAAACCATGTTAGAGATATTTGTTTGACGCAATTTTTTAGATGTATACTATTTTCATTCTAAAGAATAATCACAAAAAATAAAATTTGGAAAAAAATATCCTAAAAATTATTTTTTTAGCCCAATTAATATAAGCCATCAATTTT